TTATTGCTGTCCTTGATAGCTGTCTTACATGCTAATGCAGCATTTGATTTAGTCCTACAAATAATACATGGAAAGCTAAAGTGCAAATGTTAAAATATTAATCAAGAGCAGCAAAAACACAGTGAATGCAATAAACTATATGCAACAGATACTAAAGCATTTGTTGTATTTTTTGAAAGCAGAAAACTAAAGGCTGACACTTTAGGCAAAATATATTTGAGAAATCTGGAAAAGAAGGCAATGTTTCATTTGAATAGCACATCAAATCTTTCCACCATCATTCAGAAGCCAGGTTTCTACCACATGGAAAATGCCTTCAAAATCAAATATGAATTGACAAGAAGTAAATAATACCTTTGATTTGATCACATTTTGAGAATATTCCAAATATGTTCCAAAATAACCTAAGAGCAGCAGCATATAAATAGTAACAAACACTTAATTCTACCAGCTTTTACTTACCAGTCTTGTACAGCATTGAAGGATTCTTCATTTGTGATATCGTACATTAAAATGAAACCCATTGCACCTCGGTAATAGGCTGTGGTAATCGTTCTATATCTCTCCTGACCTGCTGTGTCCTAAAACAACATAAAATAATCTTTTATCTAAATGTCATATTTTTAGGTATTTTTTTCTGACAATCAGAGATGAGCTCTGAGACACAGTAACATAGTTTTATAGTTTCATAGTGCTTAGGGTTAGAAGGGACCTAAACAGATCATCAGGTCTGCCCCCTGCCCCGGGCAGGAATGGGTGCCAGGGTCATATCACCCCAGCCAAATATCTGTCCAGCCTCCTGTTGAAGACCCCCAAGGTAGGAGAGAGTACCACTCCCCTTGGGAGCCCATTCCAGACCCCGGAAGCTCTGACTGTAAAGTAATGTCTCCTGAACAGAGTCTCCCTCAATTCTCTCTGGTCTCTCCTGGTGAGTTTGTAAATGGCCACCAGATCCCCTCTCAGCCTTCCTTGCGGAGGCTGAATAGGTTCTTCTTGTAGGGCCTACCCTGCTGCCCCTTGACCATATGAGAGGCCCTCCTCTGGACCCTGTCAATGCTGGGGAGAGCACTGAGCAATAACATTACTGCTTTTCTTTTTACTTCCCTTCTCTCTCAATATAAAGAGGAAGATTATCCTGTGGTACCAGACTCAGGAGATGTTGCGGTATAATTCTACAGTTCCTCAAGTCAAAAAACTGTCTCAGGCCATAGACAGGTGCTCCAGTTGCAGTGAAGAATATGCCTTTGTAGCACTACAAAAAGTGAGTGTGCAGGCATTTGAGTTGCTAGTAGCACTAAAAGATGCCAAAAGCTCTATAAAATATTAGCACTTTTAAAAAACAATTTCTCTGTGGGGCTACATTTTGTAGAGATATACATAACACCTCCAGAAGTGGGGAGGACTGGAGAGCAGTTTGTACCACATGGCACAAGCTAAAGACAGCCATCCCCTGCCACAGGAGTCAAGGAGAGCAAAGGAGCAACCACCATCTCCCCCTGGCTAGACAGCACATCTTTGAGGCGACTTCATAGCTCTCCAGCCAGGGCGTTGGAATACACCCCAATATATTATATTTTTGTAGTGTTATGAAGTGCTGAGATACTGTGGCCATTTCTACAAACGTGGCAGACTGTGCAGTTGTTACTGAGTAGTCATTTAGTACTTGCATAACCAAGTACTAGATGACTGCACGGTAACCAGTATCCCCACACAGTTTTTTTCTGATGCTACTGCACAGTAGCAATGAGCTGTCCATACCCTTAGTCTCTCTCTAAAATAGTGAGTAATACTTTTACATTAATCCCTCTTTTGTCTTGTCTTGTCTGCTTCCATTTTAAGCTCTTCGGGGTAGGAGCTATCACCTTACTTACTTAATTAGATCATCTACCACAACTGGAACCTATGTTACACTCTTGAAGTGCTGGTACAATGAAACCACAAAACACTTTTTTTACTTGGAAAAAACTCCAGACATTCTTAATTTTCAAGAAATACTATTCTAGTGAAATCCCACTGAGCTATGTCCAGGCCCCACCTCCTACCCATTATATCATTTACTGGAACCATCTATGTTTGTTCAAGCACACATTGTAAATTAATTATATCATTTCATATTTCTGAATATACAGAAGTGGTCAGGTCTACTCAATCTGTCTCCCTGTTAGAAAAAGTAACTATTATAAATGCTGTGTTAATTGGATTATTTTCTGAAATGGTTCCCACATTCTGAGTATCACCTCATTAATTAGCAAACTTTATATTTAAATGAGTGTTCTTTTCCACATCTACATTAATCATCCTGTAAATTAACATGGAAGGAACTAGACTGTGCCCTCATCACATGCATTATGAAATAAAACATAACAGAACTGGTTACCATAAACAAACAAGTCCTTAGGCAGAACATTTGAATTAAATTCAGGTCAGATTACAATCACTACTGCCAAGACTTACTTTTAACAATCAAGGATTGCAAGCACACAAAAGGTTAGAGCCCAAAAGGCCTCTCACACGTGCTAGATTTATACCACGAGTAACTTAGGGCCTTGTTACACCTTATGCTGTGAGGTACACAAATGTTGTTTGGTGTTAGGGTGAGCTCCAGTTTGGAGCAGTCACACGTTCAAGCCAGTAGGGACCTGGAGGACTGAAAGGTGAGAATTCCCCCTCCAGTCCTCCCCCCCTTTCCATTCCAGGCTTTCCTGTCCCCTGCTCCCCGGGGCTCCCCTTAGCTCTCTCCATCCCTGGGGTTCCCCTCTGCCTCCTGCCCCCCAACCCTGGGGCATTACTTACTTGTGGCTGCCTGCACTATCTGTCCTAGGGGACAGGACTTGTGTCCGCTCACTCTGTCTCCAACAACAGAAGCATGGTATCTATGCACTTAGCCGCTACTGCAAGAGCGATGTTGTGGTACTGCTTCTGCTGCCAGGGTGCAATTCTGGCACCCCTATTAAGTTAGTGCCCAGGGTGGTTACCCAGCTCACCCAGCCCTAGTTACATTACTGCCTAATCTGCACTAGCATGAAAGTGAAATCAGTCATTTGGTATAGAAATAGGATTTCTCAGCCAGGTTTGAAAGGCAAGGTTTTTTGTAATATTTTTTACAGGACCAAATGTATAGTTGGGAGAGCTGTTGAAAAAGGTTTGGGGAATCAGGTATCCTTCCTCTAATCTGAGGACCCATCCAGACCTGACAGGTTCACCATTCTAGATGTTCAGGTTTGCTTGATGAATTAAATTTTGCTTATACAAAGTTAGATCTCAGCTCTAGCAGTGTTTATAGAATTTCCATGGTGCAGACCAGAACTAGGGACAGATTCCACTGAAGTGGCTGTGTATATGGCAGCATGATTCCCAAGCATCATGTCCATGGAAGTGGATTGTTAACTGACTTTTCTATTCCATAGGAAATTCCCAGATTTTTCATTTTTTTGTACCAAATTAGAACAAAAATGTGAAAATTCCAATATATTTTCCCTAAACCAATCTTACAAAATGTTGTAATAGAAAAAGAAGAAGATTTGAGAGTAGAGGTGGATCAAACTGTAGTGTAAACATTCTTCCAAATCTTATTCCATTTGTCTTGTGATAAAGGAACTGACAGTATTAATTTCAAAAGACACCTTTGGTTTATTAAGGGGCATATATGCTTAAAACATGTGAAACTATGATGTAATGACTTGTTAGCTTTCAAGAATGTCATAGACTGAAAATTTTTGGAAATCTATACAATTTACTTTTTATGTGTCGCTAGTAATATATACTGGTTGTCACTCCAAATCCATAGCTTTTCTAGCATTTTCTAATGCTTTCACAAGTCAATTATTTTTCTCCATATGATATGTCTCCTAAGTAAGAAGTGGAAAAGTATAACTGAAATCCCTCCTGCTAAGCAAAAAAGTAATGTTATCTATTATTATAAGAGGAATGGATATCACCTTCCACCATTTAAACAGGTTCCTTATATTTGTTTCAAGGAAAAGTTTAAATTTCATGGGATTCTATTAGCTTCATTTCCTTTGTTTGATATTAGGCTTATTTTTGCCCTCCAGCAAGCTTATAGTATTAATGTACAGGACAGATATGGAATTCGGACATATTTTGTCAGTGACTATCAGCCTGTCTGTCAAACAGAGACTTGTATGTGTGGAAATATGTTAGCCTGACAAGCCAGAGCTTGCTGCCAGGGAACAAATGCTATTTTGCTGCAGGTGATTTACGTTAAAATCTGTCTGGAGATAATACAGTGAAAAACCCTCATGATAAGGCATCTAGGTGGTAAGCGTTGTATCCGAGATACCCATAACTTCACATCCAGTATTTTAAGCAGTAACTGAAGGATTTTCTTGACAATGTCAAAACTGAAATAAATGTAAAGAAGCAAGTTATTTAATAATTAATTTGGTAAAAAGATCGGCTACCTCAGCTGTATATCTGGATCAAAACTGCTAGATTTGAGGATAGGGGATATTGTTTTTGATAACTGCATTTGGGTTGGTTCCTTATGAAGATTAGAACTGCATGAAAAGCTCATAGAGATTAGGAGTTCAATGGTTGAAAGTTGTCAGGTCTCAGTTTGCATCATCAGAGCTGGGCACATCTCCAATTTTACAATTATGAGTTAAGATGGTCCAAATGGTCCAAATTCTATTCCACCTCTAAGTGACACTTAGAAAGCTGTTAGGGTCCATACAGAAGTTGCTTTTTTCACCATTTAAAGTACATTATTGCCGTGACTTGACAGCAGTGCATGGGTTTACAGCACTTTAAAAATGAGTATAGTGCTTTAAATTAACCTGTGTTCAATGAGGTATTAAATGTAAAGTCCTGTATTTTACAGCACTTTAGCAACCAACAGTGCTTTAAACAAATTATGAATGCTGGTCAAATTTCTGACTGATGGAGAAGCCTTAGAAGGCTGCAGAGAACCCCCTGCCTCCTAGCCTCAAAAGTGCAGGGAGGCTCAGAGCCTCCCTCCCCCACCGCCCGCCCAGACCAAACACTGCACTTCTGTCATGTTTAAGAGCTCTTTAACTTTATAGTGTTATACAAAGTGCTCTAAATTACAGTGCTGTAAAATATGCACAAAGCACTTCTGTACACAGCCTTTGGCATCTAAATCACTAAATATGCTCTGATTGCATTCCATACAGCAGCCTTCAAATCACTAAGTTGCCTAAATACCTTTTGAATCTTCATTTTGACCTGGAAAAATCCCTAGGTGCTACAGTTACACCACTGCACATGCTCAGAAATGTGTCAGTGTAAACTCCACTGTCTAGTTCCATCAGAGAAGCACAAACTCCCTGCAAATCCCCAGTTCCTTAGACAGAAAAAACCCCACACTGGGCACATCTACATGAGATGCTACTGTGCAGTGGTTACTGCACATTTATTTAGTACTTGTATAAGGAAGTATTAAATAAATGTGCAATAACCAAAGTTACTGCACATTATCACTGGTGAACACCTTTTTGTGACATTACTGCTTAACGCTACTGCACAGTAGTGTCTTGGCACAGTTTTTGCCACGAGATGCTAATGTGCAGTCAGTGTCTCATGTAGCTGTGTCCACCGAGGG